TATTGAAATCCCCGAATCCAATTGAGTTCCTCCCTTGCTTCACCTTTAGTTTAGTTCTTCATAGTGTTTCTTGAGCCAAAAGTGATGGAAGAATGGTGTTGAATGAAGAAGGAGGCGGTCTGGGGTGTTTTGAGATGTATTTAGGGTTGAAAAGTAGTGCAAAAGGAGTTTGAGTCGTAAAAGGAAACTAAAGATTCGTCTGTGAAAAATGTTTGTGTGCGCGCGCCATTCATTGTTTTAGACTCGATAAGTGAAATTCATACCCGTGCGCGTGCGAGAGTATTTACCTGCGCACGCACATGTTTGTCTCTGAACAAATTTCGATATTTTGGTCATAACTTTCTCTACAGGTATCCGATTGAGCTAATTCAAAATGTGTTGGAAAAATAACTCAAAGGAATACAACTTTGATTCAAATACTATCTTCGAATTCAATCGTTTTTCATGTCAAAAACTGGTTTCAATATGAAGCTGAAAACTAGTGCAGCCTTTTCAAAATGTGATAATGTTTTGGCTATATTTCATCCCTTTGACTCTTCCCTTCATCCAATTGAACTCTAACACTCTCGAATCTTCATCACAAGGTTAGAAACAAGTTAGTGTATTTGCACTCTAGTCACTGAGCTTTTGTTTTTCTCTATTTTGGTTATTTTTTACTTGTTTCTCATTATTTACGCTACATTTCATCACTTATCCTGCAAAACTTGAAGTGTCTAATTATTTGTTAATTGTGAATGTAATTAGTAATAATGAAGTGACACTTCCGAAAGAAAATTAGTAACGTTGTCAAATTTCCTTTTGTGTCATACTTCAAGAACTCAATTTCAATTTGGACTTTTGAGGCAGTTTAGTTCATGAAGTGCTATTACAGCTGGTTCTTTCAACTTATTATAGTATGGTTGGTAATGAGTATAAGTTATTATAAGTTGTGAATTTTTAGAATGTATGAATAATAAGTATATTTGATCAATTTAAATTATTATCTAAAGTTTGCCAATCTTGCACTTAAAATAAAGTGTCAGGCTAATACTTCGAAAAGCCAACTCGGGTTGGTACTAATATCACGACGAGTTCAAAAATTATAACATGTCGACTCATCTTGATATGGCATAATTTGTTGTTAAAATTTTGGCTCTGCTTCTTGATTAAATCATGAAATATTTTGATTCAAATTGTAATTCATAGGACTAACGAAAATTTTGAAATATCATGTGCTAATATTATGATAATTGATTTTTCACATCAAAGTACTTGTTATATACTTATTATTTCATTAGAACAATAACCTTCCTAGTTAGATAATCCATCCTCATGGAAAATGATCACTATTATCGATTCTCCAAATTGTAACGCGAATCGACCTTGTAAGGATAGTTTAAAAATTTCACAATTGTAATTTCAATTTTATCTTTTTATATATATATAGAGAGAGAGAGAGCCGTCACAAAGGTTTATCCAACCATCTTTAAAGAAAAAAAGAGTTAAGAGAAAATAATGGGTGCAATTTTTCTTTTGTAAACTTCTTTTCATCATAATAAATTGCAGCAGTGGTAGAAGATGACGTAATCTCATATTGAGGCGAACCTCTATAAATTGTGCATATTTTTTTTTTACTGTGATTTTATTGCTATTAGTGGTATAGAATTGAAGTTTTTAATGTACAAATAGTGCCAAAACTATTTTTGTCTTCTTTTATGTTGGTTTCTTTATTTAATTCATTTTCATAGTTATTGCTTGGAAGAAAGTAAATTATATAACATATTAAATTATGTAGTCTTCTCCACTTTCAAATTTGTCGGCTATTACTTATTAGTATTGACTACAAATAAAAGTCGTCATGCCTCAGGGATTGGCCTAACATGGTGAACGGAGAGTTCATAAATCGGGTATTGTCGGAATGGATACAATCGGACTATTTTAACAAATAAGTTCGAGTTGTTGAGCAAGAGCGCTTTCACACAAGACTCCCGGATCACTATTATCGGCTTTCGTCTCTTTTTGTCAAGTCTTTTTCACAATCAACATGCTCATATCATTACGCTCACGAAAAGAATCTTAGCCACACCTAAGGATGGATTCATGACTCGATTACAAGCTGGATTAATATGTAAAAAGAAAAAATCCACATAATTTTTTTTTCTATACGCTAAAAAAATTGAATGGGTTAGAGACTCTAGCCCAGTCCAATCCTCCCTTATATACGTCCCTGGCGACACCTCCAGTACTTATTAGGAGGCATCTGTCCCAAAAAAACTGCTCAACTCACAATGTCTAGCCTTCACCATGACATACCCTTTATACCATTCTATATGTCAAATTGAGAAATTTTTGTAACCAACCTAAAAATATGTTGGCTGGCCTTGAGCTCTAATTTTTTAGAACAATAATTGTCAATTATATGGGAAAGATTGAAATGGTTTGGTTTAACCGAATGTTTCTGAGCCCTTTCGCTCCTTGAATCATTGAGAACAAACTGAAAAGCACTGCTAATATAAATTCATTAACCTTGTGGATCATTGCTAATTGAAAATTTTTCAAATTTTATTTAGGATTTAAAACTTGCCTCTAGGGTTTGTTTTTACCTTCCCTTTACCATAAATTGTATTTTTCCTCGTACTTATTATGATTATGTTCTAAATCTGTAAGAAACAAAGGGATATCTTTGAGTTTTCAGGGTAAAGATTGAACAATTACTATCACTATTTTTATTTGATAAAAATAAATTTAGCTCTTGTTTGGTATCTATTATTTCCAAAATACATTTATCTCTCTCTTATTTTCAATCTCACATTTTCAATAAAATAATATTACACGCAAATTCAAAAAAAAAATTCTTATTTTTTAATCACATTTTCTCCGATAAAATACTATTTCAAAATACATTTTGAACAAAAAATGGGCTCAAACATGCATCTAATATAGTTAACAGGAGTTAATCTGCCAAATCAACCCCTGGTCTAGTGATTGTCTGTGGTTGAACTACAAACCCAATTATAAACCCACAAATCTTAAAACATGTAGAACTCACTGGTCAAGAAAACAAAGTAAACACGCGCACATAGTATTGAAAGATCAAGGGGGTGTCCTCAATTACGATTTTAATGGATTTTAAGAATCATTTTAAATTTAGGTGTTTCCAATTGAGATTTTAATGGATTTATATGAAAATCATTAAAATTTATGTGTCTCTAAACGAGATTTAATGGATTTTAATGAAATCCATTAAAATTTATGTGTCCCAATTGAGATTCTAATTTCTTTAAAATTTAGATATCCTGAACAATTAGCAGATTTATAAGGATTTCATCAATAAATAGATTTTAAAACATGTAGATGGATAATAAACTTAAAAATACATGTAACAAAATCTTTTGAGATTTCACAATTTTTAATGAGATTCGTATAGAATTTGCTGAAAATCCATTCAAATCCACAAAATTCATTAAAATTTATAATCTTTTAAAATTCATCAAAATCTTACGGAGTGACCCCAACTGAGATTTTGATGAATTTAAAAAATAAAATTCTAAGTTCGGGTATCCTCAATTAAATTTTTTATGAATTTTAATGAAATGCATTAAAATATAGGTATCCCAAACTAAGATTTCAATGGATTTTATTGAAATACATTATATTCAATAACTTATGACTTTTGTTAATAGAGAGATTTTAAAGATTTTGATGGATTTCAAACATAAAAATACATGTAATAAACTATTTTCAAATTTTACCATTTTTAATGAAATTTTTATGAATTTTGTGGAAATCTATCCAAATTCACGAAATTAATTAGAATTTAATATTTTAAAATCCATTAAAATCTCATTGAGGACACTTCTAAGCTCAAGATCAGGTAAATGAAGGAGACTGTACAAATCTTTGAAAAATTGCTCATCATCGACTTTTCTCTCCTACACCATGGTTATAGTACTCTGGTTGAACAATTTCAAAAGTTTATCTCCTTAAAGTCACAAGCTATGTCTGCTTTTTCCGTATGTCAGTTGCCTCATAGTTCTTTACGCATGTCACATTCTGTATGGGTCTTGAATTCTGGTGCTTCACATCATATATCTCTAGATTCTTCATCTTTTGCTTCTGTGTCTCCTTCGTCTTCTATTCCTGTCTTGACTGCTGATGGCAATCCTATATCTTTAGCAGACGTTGGTTCTATTGTCACACCCCACTTGTCTCTCCCTAATGTTTATTATATTCCAAAACTCACATTAAATCTTGCTTCTGTTGGTCAGTTATGTGATTCTGATAATTTAGTCACATTTTCCTCTTCTTCTTGTTATGTGCAGCATCTGCAGTCTCAGAAGTTGATTGGGACAGGCAATAGGAAGGGGAGACTATATTTTGGATGAGTTAAAAGTGCTAGTTACTGCTGCTGCTACTAGTGTTGATTTGTCTTCTTTTTGTTTGAGTCATTCTTCTTCTAGTTTTTATTTATGACATTCTTGTCTAGGTCATGTTTCGTCTTCTCGATTGAGATTTTTGACTTCTACAGGGGTTTTAGGAAATTTGTAACCCTGTGATATTTCTAATTGTAGTGGATGTAAACTGGTAAAATTTTCAGCTTTACCTTTTAATTGAAGTATTTCTGTTTCTTCCTCTCCATTTGATTTGATTCATTCCGATGTATGGGGGCATTCTCCTATTGCCACAAAAGGAGGGTCTCGATATTATGTTTCTTTTATTGATGATCATACTCGTTATTGTTGGGTTTATTTAATGAAATATTGTTCTGAATTTTTTGAGATATACACAACCATTCGTGCTCTTATCAAAACTCAACATTCTGCTATTATCAAATGTTTTAAGTGTGATTTAGGTGGGGAATACACTTCTAATAAATTTTTTAAGCTGCTTGCCTTAGATTGAACCATTCACCAAACTTCGTGTACAGATACTCCTGAGCAAAATGATGTTGCTAAAAGAAAATATAGGCACATTGTTGAAACACTCGCTCTCTCCTGTTGTCTGCTTCTATTCCTAGTATGTTTTGGGGTGAGGCTCTTCATATTGTTGTAGTTTTGATAAATAAAATTATATCTTCTCATATTTTAGGTTTTTCTTATTTCGAAGGGTTGTATGGGTATGCCCATAATTATTCTTTCTTTAAAGTTTTTGGTTGTACTTATTTCGTTCTTCGTCCTCATGTAGAACGCAACAAGTTGTCATCTCGATCTCCTATTTGTGTCTTTCTTGGTTATGGTAAAGGTAAAAGGGGGTATCATTATTTTGATTCAATAATTCAGAAACTTCATGTGTCTCGTCATGTTGTCTTTCTCGAGCATATACCTTTCTTTTCTATTCCATCCACTACTCATAGTTTGACTAGTTCTGATCTCATTCGTATAGATTCTTTTTCTAATGATTCTAATAGTTTGTCATCTCAGGTTTCTAGTTTAAATACCCATTCTCATGTTCTTACCCCCATTATCTTTACAACCAATTCGTACTGATCATTCTACATGTACTGACACTATTCTCTCCGGCATACCTGAAGTTCCCTCTTCTCTTATGGTCCTTCAAGCTTCGTCTGAGACTGTGGATTCATATCTACGTCAATCCATACGCATTCGTAAGTCTACAAAGTTATCGAAGTTTGCTTATTCTTGTTATTCTTCATCTTTTATTTCATTTTTATCTTCTATTCATTGTCTCTCTGAGCCCTCTTCCTATAAAGAGGCAATTCTTGATCCTCTTGGCAGCAAGTTATGGATGAAGAACTTTCTACTTTGCATAAAACTGGCACTTGGGATTTGGTTCCTCTACTTCCTGCTAAGAGTGTTGTTGGTTGTCGTTGGGTGCATAAGATCAAGATTAATTCTGATGGATCAATTGAGCGATACAAAGCTAGGTTGGTTGAAAAATGGTATTCTCAACAGTATGGTATGGATTATGAGGAGACATTTGCTCTTGTTACAAAAATGACTACTATTCGTACTCTTATTGTAGTAGTTTCGGTTCGTCAGTGGCGTATCTCTCAACTTGATGTTAAAAATACTTTATTGAATGAAGATTTTCAAGAAGAAGTTTATATGGCGCCCCTTCTAGTGTTTCACATTATTCTAGGTATGTTTGCAATCTCAAGAAAGCATTATATAGTCTCAAACAAGCACTTCGTTCTTGGTTTGAGAAATTTTCTGTTGTGATCTCTTCCCTTTGATTTGCTTCTAATAGTCATGATTCTATTTTTTTGTTAAGTACACTGATACAGGTCGTATCATTCTATCTTTATATATTGATGACATGATTATTACCGGTGATGGTATTGATGGTATTTCAATTTTGAAGCTAGAGTTAGCTAGACAATTTGAAATGAAGGATTTGGGTTCTCTGAGATATTTCTTGGATATTGAGGTAGCTTCCTCACCCAAAGGTTATCTTCTTTTTTAGTCGAAATATGTTGTAGATATCTTGAGCGGGCTAGACTGACTGATAATAAGACTGTTGATACTCCCATTGAGGTTAACGCAAAATACTCTTCTTCTGATGGTTTACCTTTATCGGATCCTTCTTTATACCGTACTATTATTGGGAGTTTGATATATCTCACTATTACTCGTCCAGATATTGCATATGATATTCATGTTGTTAGTCAGTTTGTTACTTCTCCTACTACAGTTCATTGAATAGCCGTTCTTCGTATTTTGCGGTATCTTCGGGATACAGTCTTTCAGAGTCTTTTACTTCCATCCATATCTTCCTTGGAACTGCTAGAGATGGCAATGGAGCGGGTTCGGGGCGGGGCATCCTCGCCCCACCCCGCCCCGCCAGCCACTCTCCCACCCCATCCCGCCACATGCCCCACCCCACCTTAGACGGGGCGGGGCGGGTTCGGGGCGGGTTCGCACCGTTTCCTGCCCCGTTTATTTATTTATTTTTTCAAAAACTTCTAATTAACTATTTTTTTTGTTTTTAATTTGTAGTTAATTATTTTTTTTTATTTTTCACGGGGCGGGTTCGGGGCGCTTCGGGGCAGGGCACCCCTTCCCCTCCCCGCCCCACCAACCCGTCGGGGCGGGTTTTTTTCATCCCATTCGGGGCGGGGCGGGCGACGTCGAGGCAGAGCGGGGCGGGACGGGTTTTTTTCCCATCACTAGGAACTGCGTTCATACTCTGATACTGATCATAGCAGTGATCCCACAGATCGCAAGTCTGTTACTGGTTTCTGTATCTTTTTGAGTGATTCTCTTATTTCTTGGAAGAGCAAGAAACAATCTATTGTTTATCAATCTTCAACCGAAGCAGAATATCATGCTATGACATCTACTACCAAAAAGATTGTTTGGTTACGTTAGTTACTTGCAGATATGCGAGTCTTTCTTTCTCATCCCACTCCAATGTATTGTGATAACCACAGTTCTATTTAGATTGCTCACAACTCAATTTTTCACAAATGAAAAGTACATTGAGATCGATTGTCAACTTACTTGTCATCATCTTAAGCATGACGCAATTACTTTGCCCTTTGTTTCTTCTTCTTTGTAGCTTGCAGATTTCTTTACCAAGTCGCATTCTATTTCCCATTTTCGCTTTAAGAAATATAGGGTTATTTTGTTTTATTGTTTATTAATGGTAGAATAGTCTTTTCAGTTTCCTTTGTTTAGCCTATATATAGTCTCTTTGTACTAGGTTAAATTATCATTTTTGTATTCAATTGCATTATGCAGAATTAATGAAACCCTAGCCTCCTCTTCTTTTTCTTTATTTATTTGGATTGTTTAATTAACAATTCTGTCATCGAGCAAATCCATGAAGCTTGTTGAAACTTTGGTTTCTTTCATGTAATATCTCTCTCTCTCTCTCTCATTTCTTTTTAATCTCTTTTTTGTTCTTATACGTTACAGTTCCTTTTGTTTTATTGGGATTTAAATTTAGGTTATCAATCATGGGATACCCGATTAGTAATTGAAGAAGCTTTGAATGTGAATTCTTTGACATGCCAATGGCGACGAAGGAGGAGCTTCTGTCTGATGATGTACAGAAGCCAGCGAGATTTAGTAGAGTTCAAGTTGGATGCCATGAAAATGGGATGCTTTCGAGGGACTTCCTTAATCTCTATGCACATCCTCTTCATCATTTTCTCAACTTATGGCCTTCAAATCCTCTCAAATATAGGTACGATTAACTTCTTATTTTCTTCTTTTTTTCCCCGAAAACAGAGAAAATGTTTGAAGAAATTCAAAAAGGTTTCTAGTTTTTTATTTTTACTAAATTTATATAAACTAGGACGTTCTAGGGAAATATTTTTTAAATATTAGGATGAATATGGGACAAATGGACGTCATTTTTATTAATTTTTTATTGTTATTTGTTATTATGTGTCTTTAAATATTTTTAAGAGTTTAGAGACAACTGAAATTTTAATCAAAATCTTGTCCTAATTTTAATATATTCTTTTGAAGTTTTAACAAAATGTTAGTACCATTCCTGTCATTGAAGAACACTGCAAATACTAACAGTTCTTTGTTAATGTAACAGGGAAAAAATGGGAATGTATGCTACAGAGGTTAGGAAATTAGGCATTGAGCTTTTTGGTGCCATCATGGAGAGCTTAAACTTGAGCCCAACACACTTAAAAACAAAATTTCGAGCACGGCGCACAACTTATCGGCATAAATTCCTATCCTCCATGCTCGGGATCGAACGTAAAAGCAGGCACATCTGCGCACACAGATCACAGCATTATCACCCTTCTTCTTCAAAGTTCCCCGGGCCTCCATATCATGGACAGGTCGGATGGCGCATGGAAGAGCGTTAGCAAGATCGAAAGGTCATTAGAAGTCATATTGGGTGATCACTTGGAGGTAATAAGCAATGGTTTGTACAAAAGTGTACTGCATCGATCCCTTCCGACTTCGAATAATGGTTCTAGGATGTCAATAGCTGACTTTCATAGCCTCGGAATGGATGATATAGTCGAGCCTGCTACAAAGCTAGTCGATGAAAAACATCCAAAGAGGTATAAGGGGAGCATCTTGCGAGACTTTCTCGAGCATCTCTCGTCCAAAGACACAACACCCTTTATTCAGGCGATCAAAATATAAACGACTTCAAGTAATTGACGAATTTAGGGTTATCTTGACTCTTTTGGTAGATCTAGCAATGTACCAGATGAGTAGGGTAAAAGAATGAACATTTGCTAAGTTAGCCTTTAGCATATGTTAATGATAAAATAAATGTTATAATAAATTCACTAATAATTGGATTTAATCTTTTTAAAGGTAATAAGGTTTGTTTTCTTGTACAGTGGAAGTGCTAAAAATATAAGAGCATATTTTTGGAACCTAAGGGGTTGTTCTCTTTATATTTCAATTTTGTATTTTGAATTCATCTTGGGTATTGTGTTTTGATTGTCCATTTTGAAATTGTTGAAAATATGTTCTTTTTGGCATTTTGAAAAATTGTTTTGAAAATTTCTAAAACGCGTTTTGAAAATTTTGGCTTGATTATAACTGAAAACATCCAAAACGACAAATTTATCGTTTAGGGTTTTCTTTGTAAATTTTTAACTCGTTTTTAAAAACGCGTTTTCGAAAATAGGAAAAAGAACGCGTTTTCACTGTTTTGAAAAATTGAAAACAGAAAACGACTTGAAAATTGTAAAGAGAACATACCCTAATTCTTTCCAAAATAAAATCAATAATTTTTTTTTTCTCAAACTCTTCCTTTTATTTTTGCTAATTTTATTTAGTTCTCTTGTCACATACTTGCATAGCAATTGATGTATACAATATAGTTTAGTAATTTAATGAACCATTTAGTTCTGAATCGAATAGAATTAAATATAAATAAATGATTCGCTTACTCGATTTCAAGCTAAACTCGAGGCATAAGCATAACTCTTGAAAACTCATGATTTAGACAAATTTGATTGTCTAGGGGTTCAAACTTTAACAGTTTATAATTTATTTTTTGTTTATTATTATTATTATTATTTTTGCCATTACTGCACAAGAGTTTATTTTTGTTTGGTTTTCTACCTTTTTATGGGCTGAATCATTATTATTGAAATATAATTTGAATATTTCAATTTTTGTCAAATTCTCATTAAATTATTTGAATCAGCAAATCTTGTTGCATCTCCATCACCAATCTTAAGTACATTGTACAAATAATTAGATAAACCACAAATATTATATTTCGTAGTTAAAGGAAACAAGAAACCTTTTTTATTTTTTATATAATCAACAAATCTTACATTTCAATAAAATTTTATAATTCGACAGATTTTGTCGATGTGCGCTGGTCGTACTTTTAAGGTTGGAAATTTACCATTTTAAGTATTAATAATTTGGAATGCTAATTGAAAATTTTTCAAATTTGATTTAGGATTTAAAACTTGCCTCTAGGGTTTGTTTTTACCTTCCCTTTACCATAAATTGTATTTTTCCTCGTACTATTATGATTATGATCTAAATCTGTAAGAAACAAAGGGATATCTTTTGAGTTTTCGGGGTAAAGATCGAACAATTACTAACACTATTTTTATTTGATAAAAATAAATTTAGCTCTTGTTTGGTATCTATTATTTCCAAAATACATTTATCTCTCTCTTATTTTCAATTTCAGATTTTTCAATAAAATAATATTACATGCAAATTTTAAAAAAAAAAAAAATCTTATTTTTTAACCACATTTTCTCAATAAAATACTATTTCGAAATACATTTCTAACAAAAAAATGGGCTCAAACATGCATCTAATATAGTTAACAGGAGTTAATCTGCCAAATCAAACCCTGGTTTAGTGATTGTATGTGGTTGAACTACAAACCCAATTATAAACCCGCAAATCTTAAAACGTGTATAACTCACTGGTCAAGAAAACAAAGTAAACACGCCCACGTAGTATTGAAAGATCAAGGGGGTATCCTCAATTACGATTTTAATGGATTTTAAAAATTATTTTAAATTTAGGTGTTCCCAATTGAGATTTTAATGTATTTATATCAAAATCATTAAAATTGTGTCTCTAAACGAGATTTAATGGATTTTAATGAAATCCATTAAAATTTATTTGTCCCAATTGAGATTCTAATTAATTTCTTTAAAATTTAGACATCCTTAATAATTAGTGGATTTATAAGGATTTCATCAATAAATAGATTTTAAAACATTTAGATGGATAATAAACTCAAAAATACGTGGAACAAAATCTTTTGAAACTTCACAATTTTTAACGAGATTCTTATAGAATTTGCTGAAAATCCATTGAAATCTACAAAATTCATTAAAATTTATAGTCTTTTAAAATTCATCAAAATCTTACGGAGTAGTCCCAACTGAGATTTTGATGATTTTTTTTAAAAAAAAAAAAAATCTAAGATCAGGTATCCTCAATTAAATTTTTTATGAATTTTAATGAAATGCATTAAAATATAGGTATCCCAAACTAAGATTTCAATGGATTTTGTTGAAATACATTAGATTCAATAACTTATTACTTTTGTTAATAGAGAGATTTTAAAGATTTTGATGGAGTTCAAACATAAAAATACATGTAATAACCTACTTTCAAATTCTACCATTTTTAATGAGATTTTATGAATTTTGTGGAAATCTATCCAAATTCAAGAAATTAATTAGAATTTAATATTTTAAAATCCATTAAAATCTCATTGAGGACACTTCTAAGCTCAAGATCAGGTAAATGAAGGTGACTGTACAAATCTTTGAAAAATTGCCCCATCATCGACTTTTCTCTCCTACACCATGATTATGGTACTCTGGCTACACAATTTCAGAAGTTTCTCTCCTTACAGTCACAAGCTAAGTCAGCTTCTGTAGGTTAGTTGCCTCATAGTTTTTCAGGTATGTCAAATTCTGTTTGGGTTTTGGATTCTAGTGATTCACATCATCTGTCTCCAGATTCTTCATCTTTTGCTTCCGTGTCTCNGTCTCCTTCGTCTTCTATTCCTATCTTGACTGCAGATGACACTCCTATACCTTGAACAGGTGTTGGTGCTGTTGTCACACCCCACTTGTCTCTCCCTAATATTTATTATATTCCGAAACTCACATTAAATTTTGATTCTATTAGTCAGTTATGTGATTCTGGTAATTTAATCACATTTTCCTCTTCTTCTTGTTATGTGTAGGATCTGCAGTTTCAGAAGTTGATTGAGACAGGTCATAGGAAGGGGGACTATATATTTTGGATGAGTTAAAAGTGCCAGTTGCTGCTGCTACTAGTGTTGATTTGTCTTCTTTTCGCTTGAGTCATTCTTCTTCTCTGCAAGCCACTTCTACAAGATAGGTATAGCCAGTTGAAAAAAGAACGAAATCTATATATTTATATTCGAGTAATATTATGTAGTCCAATTGATGCTTAACACCGTTTTATGTTTAAATTAAGACACTTCAAATGGGACTCCATGTCCCTTAATTTAAGATATTTAATCACTTTATACTACTTAAATGACATTTGAAAGTGATGAGCACCAATTGGTCTATGTAGCATTATTCCTTATTAATGTGTTATATAACCTCCAATGGCCTCTCTTCCGCATCAGCTTTCCTTATAAATAGCTTATAATCTAGGTTTCCATAATATAGATTTCCATCACCAATTTCTACTCTATTTTTTGCCTCCCAAGTGCACATAGAATCTATTCAGACTGTGGTTCCAATCAAATCAACTGACCCAATAAACTCATGCAGAATATCAGTTTCTCCACAAAATCTTGATTCCAGCATTTAAGGAACGCAATTTCTTCTTATTTGTGCTATAACAAAGCCTCAGATGAAGATTCCGGGTGGTAATGGCAGGTTGGATCAAGGAATCACTTAGCAATGCACTGGATATTAGGACAAGAATCCGAAGACGGTGATCGAGACGTACAGATCGTTTTGAACGATTCTGGTGTTCGATTGGTCGAGGATACAGTTGAAATAAAATTGGCTGATTTTCTTGTTTTGGAGGAGAAGAAAGAAGCACAAGGTGAGGTTGTGTTTTGGGATGATGTTCTTGGTCACAATATTCAGCTCTCTTTGCTATTTTATGTCCAGGTGAAAATTTAGTAGCGGCAAATACTATTATCTTCATTAATGCATATTTGTTAAGCTTAAAATTTTACTTAAAAAAGAAAATGGGTATATTTGTGTTGATAATGTCATTTAAAAAGGTGCATGAGAGAGCATATAGTATATCGTTTAAATTTTGTGTTTAATACATCCCTTCATGCGGGGTTAGATTTAGTATCAAACTAAAAAATATTTCAAGTCGGGTTATTATGTAAAAAAAAAAAAATGTACACATCAATATGAAATGGATTGGGGGATTGGACAGGGTTGTAGCCAGTCCCTTCTACATCCGACTCTGCCTTCATTTGATGAATTCATTTTCTTATCGATATATTAATAGTTTTCATAAATGAATAGGGTCCATATTGAAAGTAGTGCACTTTATTTTTGCCTAGCTATTTACAAGTACAACCAACCAGCTCAACTTATGAGAAACTAGAGTCAAGGCTTCTTTCACTTTTATTTTTATTTTTTTATAATTAATGTATGTTTAATACACAATATTATATAATAGATAGAAAGTAATATTACAAACAATATTTTTTTTCATTTTCTTTTTTTAGTACTATTGAGTATAGATTAATTCACACTATCAAATATGTCATTATTGTCCAAGGCTCTTTTTCATCTTTTTTATTCTTACAATAGTTTTACTCCACACGCATAGTTCTATGTATCTTATATTATAGAGTCAAACTACTTGCGCATCATTTTCTACCATTTCGTGGCTCGAGTTTGTTAGGTTTTTGATGTATCGAGTTTGTTAGGTTTTTAAAGTATTTAATCTTAACCAAACATGTAAGTTATGAGTAAATTTCAATTATTTCGTGAAGGTTTCATATGATATATGTTTGATAGGGATTAAAATCAAATTTTTAGTAGATTTTGATAAAAGTTGATGAAATGTGTGTTTAAAAAGTTGTGAGACCCAAGAAATTTGTGATTAAAATTAATTGTTGATTTTGATTTAAATTAAAATTGGAATTTTAATCCGTACCAAACATGATTTGACTAGACAACTTAGCATGAAAGCAATAGTAAGTCCCTGATTCGTGGGGATCAAAATTTAATTTTTATTAAAGTTGAAGTTAACAATTAATTCTTAACCACATATTTTATGATATTCACATTTTTTCAAACACACATTTAATCAACTTTTATCAAAATTTACTAAAAATCTAATTGGAGCTAAGTAAAAATTGTGGTATAGAAGGTGAAGAATAGGGTCCATATTGAAAGTAGTTCACTTTATTTTTGCCTAGCTATTTACAAGTACAACCAACCAGCTCAACTTATGAGAAACTAGAGTCAAGGCTTCTTTCACTTTTATTTTATTTTTTTATAATTAATGTATGTTTAATACACAGTGTTATATAATAGATAGAAAGTAATATTACAAACAATAATTTTTTTCATTTTCATTTTTTAGTACTATTGAGTATAGATTAATTCACACTATCAAATATGTTATTATTGTCCAAGGCTCTTTTTCATCTTTTTTATTCTTGGAATAGTTTTACTCCACACGCATAGTTCTATGTATTTAATATTATAGAGTCAAACTACTTGCGCATCATTTTCTACCATTTCGTGGCTCGAGTTTGTTAGGTTTTTGATATAATTAACAAGTCTGTGAACAAAAGGGACTAAGTTTAAAATGTTGTAAAATTCAAGGGGTAGGTTGCAAATAATAGAAATTGAGTTGTATTAGGTCTAGGGTTCGATAATGGAAAAAAAGGAAAAATGACGACATAATTTCGCTAGACTGTCGCCATGACTTGACTTGAGCGTCAGAAACAGTAACACTGTCGCTAGCCTGTCGCCAGGGCTTTGCTCGAGCGACAAGCTATCGCTCTCCTGTCGCCCAGCTTTCGCTCGAGTGACAGGGTTATCCAGAGAATTTTTAATTCATTTTTTAAGGCTTTTTATACGGCCGCCCATTCATTCCAAAACCTAAACTACAAATGCCAAACGCCTTTAAACATAAATTCCAAGGTTGATCATTGTGAAAACTCATTCTCTTCATCAAATAAACTTTCAACTTTCATTATGTGATTGGTTTTTGGTGGTGAAAACATCAAATCCACAATCCAAATGCCAAACTGCTACTTCCTACGTATCTGTCAGAGTTCTGAAGATCAAGAAAAGATGACTGGAGTTCCAGTTGTTGAAGAACGCGGAGTTCTTCGTTGATCCACATGAGATAGAGGAATTCATAACGCTGGGAGTTGCTGCAGGAGCGCGCAATCCATGAGGGTTTTGAAAACTATAGCTGGGAGTTGGTACAGGAGCACGAAATCTAGAAGAGCTGTGAGAATTGCTGTCAGGAGGTCAGAAAATATTAGTGGTAGTCAAGTCTGGCGGACTGTAAGTTTTAATTCGTTTATAGTGGATTGTTGACTGGGAAAGTACCCGAAATTTTCTTAAAGTATTGGATGCGCGTATTTGGATGAGCATTCAAACTGGGTGGACTGCACCTTCAACTACTGTTGCGGTGTAGCTATACCCACTGATATTTCACTTTGAACTAAAGATGACTTAGTTGAGTGTAACTGGAACAGTAAAGGCATTCATGCCCTATTCGTGGCTGTGTATGCTGAAGAGTTTAGGAGAGAATCGATGTGTGAAACTGTTAAAGATGTTTGGGATATATTAGAAACCATACACGAGGGAACTAAAACTGTTAAAAACTCTAAACTGCAGATGTTGACCTCTAGGTTTGAAGAAATTAGAATGAAGGATGATGAATCGTTTGATGAATTCTAAGCGAAGCTCAATGATATAGTTAATCCGAGTTTCAACCTAGGTGAGAAGATACCCGAGTCTAAAATTGTTAGAAAAGTCCTTAGATCCTTACCTGAAAGGTTTAGACCTAAGGTCGCAGTGATTGAAGAAAGTAAGGACTTAGATGCTATTAACATAGAAGAACTCGTAGGATCCCTACAAACATATGAACTCATCATAACTCAATCGAAAAAGTTTAAATCCATAGCCATAAACACTGTTAGGGAAAAAGAGAATGAGTCAACTGATGCTGAAACTCTTAGGGACGATGAAATAGCGTATTTCGTTAAAAAATTCTAGAAGGTAATGAGGAAACCTCAAGAACGGAAAAACGATGTCCTTAGTAAATTATCGAATGACAAGCGTGAGAAATATACCCCTATGACCGCTAATAAGAAAACATAGTCTGTTAGATACCATGAATGTCAGGGTTTTGGTTACTATAGGAATAAATGTCCTAACTTGAAAAACTTGAATAAAGGAAGGCGTAAGGCATTAGCAAACCTTGAGTGATGATGAATCAGATTCGAGTGCTCAGAGTCATACCTTTGGTAGTGAGGATGAACAAAATTTTATGACATTCACATCTATAGCTACGATTGAATCCAATAAGGAAAATGAAAAGGTTGAAAATGAAAAACGTAGTGAAAAATCTGAGGGAGAGTTTGAGGATGAGACTGATATTCATGAGTCATATCGAGAATTATTTGAGAAGAGTCTTAAAATAAAAAACGTCAATAAAACTGTACTGAAAAGGTAAATGAACTTGAGAGAGAGAGAGAGAGAAACTCATAGGTGACCTTCAGGACTCTACCAAAAATCTGAATTAGTTGAAACTTGTTATGAGATCTTAGAAACTAGAGTTAAATCACTAACAAGTGATCTTGACAAATCTAATACTCAACTTCATTCTTTTATGAGTGGTACGCAGAAACTCGATAATCTGTTGGTGATAAACGAGCCTGCTGGAAATAGGCAAGGTATGGGTTACGTTTATAATGGTAATGCTACTACGAGTACATCCAAGACCACATTTGTCCCAACAACCAGCAAAGTTTGGAATATTGTTAATCCTGAACCCAAGGGCAAGAATATCTTTGGATCAAACTTACTAGACAACGTAGGGCAAATCGTCCAATATATTGGCAACAACTTCCGAACAGGTTTGAACCTAGGTTTATTCCCACATGTCACCATTGTGGCACACTGGGACACACAAGACCTAAGTGTCGTAAACTCGCAACTAGAAGTAAAAGTCAGGTTTTCTCAAGCAAGGTTAACTTCCTCACCAATCAGGTTAGCCATTTAACTGAGATGATGACTCATTTAACTAGGATCACTTCTACTTTTAAGAAGGGTTGGGTTAAGAAGAGTGACCTTCCTAGGTCTGTGGATCACTTAAATTGTTGTGTTGCACACGTTGCACTTAAAGCTCAAAATAACTCTATGTGATATCTTGATAGTGTATGTTCTAGACATATGTATGGTGATAAAACCTTGTTCTCTTCTCTAAATGAGTGGAATGACGGTGTGGTTACTTTTAGAGATGGGGCTATTGCACATATCCTAGGTAAATGTGTTGTTAATATATTTGGATTACCTGCTATCTCAGACGTGCTTTAAGTGAAAGGGTTAAAGTCCAACTTGTTAAGCATTAGTCAAATATGTGATGCTGATTTTAAAGTTAGTTTTGTCCAGAAATGGTGTATTATGTATGATTCTACTGGTAACATTGTCCTCGAAGGTGTAAGAACTTTAGATAATTGTTATAGAGTTCTTCCTAATTCCACTTACGTTTGCAGTAGTGTCAAGATTGATGTATCTGAATTGTGGCATCAATGCCTTGGTCATATGAATTATAAGAGTTTGTCTAAGCTCGTCAAGAAGGAACTTGTTAATGGCTTACCTAAACTTGAAAATATTGATAATACTCTATGCGGCCCGTGTCAACAAGGTAAACAACTTAGAGTGACTCATAAACAAACTTCTAAAATCTTGACAAGCAAAGCCGCTTGAATTAGTTTATATGGACTTAATGGGACCATCATGACCGAGACTCTTGGTGGTAAACGCTATATCCTGGTTATAGTTGATGACTTCTTATGATATACTTGGATTGAGCTGTTGAGAGAAAAAGATGAAGTGTTCAGCCTTGTCATATCATTGTACAAAAGGCTTAGAAATGAAAAAGACTTTACCATATCAAGAATTCG